TTGACTTTACTTCATTATATCCATGTTGGAAGAAAACATCAAGGAATTAAAGATTTTATTTGATGGAAGTCCTCGTAGATGAAATGATTATAACGTTTCTTGTGACATTATTATTTTTTTCATTATTTTTTTCGTGGTATATTTGTTATCACTGTTATATTATTGAAGAGGGATTTATGAAAAAGATAAAATACCAGAAAAATTCTGGAGATACAGAAATTTATGAAAAATATGTATTTGTTAGAAGAAGGAACTATCTGTATTGGTGGTGATGATGAATGGGAATAATTTAATTAATTGTTATTTTAATGGAATTTATTTGTTTCAATTTGACGAAAATTTTTTTAAAAAAATTTTTCTAAAAATTATATTGTTGACATTTTATCAAAGAATAACGAGTTGAAAATTACCGATCAAAAAAAAATTCATAATTTTATTTTAAAATATAAATCATATCTCAGACACTATAATAATATTTATATAAATGAACAAAAATATATAGAAAAAATATTGGTAAAGAATTATATTTTTTAAGGATCATATATTAATATAACAAAAATGGAATGGGATTAATGAAAAACATTTGTTGATAATTTTGTAAAAAATTTGTTGATTTTGTAAAAATAAAAAATATCGATTTTTGTAGGGTATATATTCATCTTATTTTCATGTTTTGTATCATTTGATTTCATATACTTTCAAACAACACATCGATATAAGTTTTTAAGGAAAAGATAAAACAAATGGCTCAAGAGTTTACCATTTATAAAAACTTTTAGAGATTTGGTAACAGTTTTACAAAGTTATATAATGGAAAAGCAATCCTTGGAAATAAAGTATGCAGTTTTAATCGTTTTAGTAAGTTATGTTTTTTTCAAAATCTGTTTACTCTCCATACAATGGTGGGTTGTGTTGTATGGATGAATTGCAAATGAATTTGCAAGCATGTGAAAAATTAGCAAGCGTGTTGAATAAAATTGCTAATAAAGATGAAGGTGAAGATTTGTATGAAGTTTTATTTTCATCTAATGAAAAACGTGTTATTTTGATGCGCGAATCAGGAAAACTTATTTTAAAATCACAAAAATCATCTCGTACTGTTGATGAAAGTGTAACTATTTGTGTTGATGATGAGTGGGATGAATGTTTCAAACCATCCGATCTAAATGATATTTCGATGATTGATTGGACGGATGAATTTTACAAAGTGTATTTCCGAAAAGATGATGACTTAAAATCTATATCACAAAAATTGCGAGAATTTGTTGCATCTTGTCGTGATTTATTAAAAAGTGAAGAAGAGGAAAGAAAAAACAACCAAAGTAAAAGGTTAAAAGAAAAAGGTAAAAAAGACAAAAACTGACCAGAAAAAAAATGAATGAAAATGGAGATGATATTGAAAATGGTAATGACATTGAAATGATAATGATATTGAAGCTATTTATATGTTGAAAGAGTTTTCTAATAAAATTGGATATTTCAATATATGATTGCGTTGTTTATCATAGTGAAATTATGAATGAAATTTTAGAGGGAAAAATAGGAAAAAATATGATTTT